CTAATATTTAAAGTGAGTTGTTTCTGATACATAGAAAATATTACGTACTTATGCTTGTTTTAAAATTGTCTGGAAACATATTATCACAAAAAAGGTGACAATTAACTATTAAATCTGTAAGCTGTGGACGTACCCCAATCTGTTTTCCCATCGAGTATTCACTATCTTAATGATTGTGGTTAGGTGTTAAGGTGGATCGCCAGTAAAACTCGAAATTTATACCTATGAACATTACATTTTTTATTGGATTCCATTTTATACAGCGCGTTTCACATGTATGTCTTCGGGTATAGATAATGCTGTGTAAAAATAACATGTTTTATTCACTCATTAAGTTGTTTTTACTCTTTCTCTATGTATGTAGAGAAAATGATGAAATAGTTGTGATAACTATGCAGAGTTTGTGTTTCTAACAATTACATTATTATTTTGTAATGAAACAGGTTTGTTTATAGTATACGTGTGTATATATATTTAATACAATTAAAAATGTATAAACTTTAATCTTGATTAAAAATAATTACACGTATACATTCCACAAGCGTTCTCTATCTGCAAACTTGTAAATATCTTTAGCTTAATCGGATAAACTATTAATACTAATCTGCAGTCACTGTAGAAGGATTCTGTATGTTTAATAAAAAGATTATTTCACTAACGTAACAAAAGCTTACATTTACTAAAACTTCTCTGTTCACTGAGAAAATTTAAAGAAACGTAATCTAGACTAATCGATGGATTTGTTAAACGTTGTACTTAAAAAATATAAAATTAAACTCTGAAATGAAAAACAAGAACTATATGTACTTCACTAACTTGACGTGTTAAAGTCCTCCTTAAATCATAACATACGCATGTTTATATGATTTCAATTACCAGTTTCTTAATAATCAATTACATTGACTTATAAGTCTTAGCACTTTAGAATAAATGTATTCAGATACATACATAGAGAGCAATGGATATTATTACTTTTTTAAAAACATATTTTTGAATTAGCTTGACAAAATATAGTATGATATTACTCTTACAGAAGATATAAAGTTTCATCTAAAAACACAGTTGTTGTTAATATTAGATTAATTTTATCACTTTGAAAGCATGACAGTTGTCGTTTACGTACCACGCACTAAAGCTGCTTTAGAAATTTTTTAATTTTAAGTTTGTTTCTTATGAGAAAACTACATTTGCGAAAACGCTTCTTTGTTTTCCAATATACAGAGAGGATCCATTATACTTTTGATGAAAACATATTGAGAAATTAGAGTTTTAAAAAAATAAAATGTCCTCGAGGATGGCGGCTCGTCAATTTCATAATTTGCTTTTGGTAATTTTATACCACTTTATAATCAGAATAAAACGAATATCAAGTTACTCTATAAAGCCTAATAACATTTTTTGAATAGGGTATAAATGTAGGCATATCATTTACTAAAATTCTCTATATTCAGCAGCATTTGTAGCCACTTCTAAAAATGCATTAAAAATTTCACAAAAACATTTCAGTGTGTGCCCATTTACTGCAGGAAATGTTATCTCTTTTTTGCGAATTAACCGTCATTTTAGTTCTCACTCATCACGAACACTATTATGTTCAATTTATATCCTGAAAGAAATAAAACAAAAGTCCCGTAATGGCACAACGGTATGTCTGCGGACTTACAACGCAAGATACCGGGTTTCGATACCAGTGGTGGGCAGAGCACATATACCCATGGTGTTACTTTGTGCTTAACCTCAAACAAACAAATATTTCTACATATTAAAAGAAAACTTTGATATTTCAGGAAAACTTCATTAAAACAAGTGGTGGGCAGAGCGCAGATAGCCCATTGTGTAGCTTTGTGCTTAACTTCAAAACAAACAAACAAAGAATTATATAAATATTTGACTTAGGAGTATTCTGTAATTACAGGCTCAAACACAAAACAACAGTACTTTAGTTTTTTAGAACTTATTAGCGTTTACAAAATTCATAAGAGCATTAAAATAATACATATTTTAAAAAACGTTTAATGTGCAGTGTGACATATTTAAGTAATATTTTCCGATATAATTCCTTTTTGCATTATCGTTACAAATGTTATTTTCTGAAATAAAATAATGTTTTCTATCTTATTGCTAATAAATGATAAAAATATACCTTTTTTTTGACAACATTTTGATTTGCAGTCTTCACCTTTAAAAATAGGTCTTAACCAGTTATAACTCACCAACTGTTAAACGTGATCTAGTAATAAAGTCTTCCCGCTTCTGCTTAGTGTCTACTCGTTACATTCAAATAGAAGTTTCTTTTAAATATTCATATTATAGATATATAACTACAGAGGTAAATATGGATAGTGAATTTAAATTAGTATTAGCTCTTTATCTTGGTATTGAGAAAGAGAAACAACTTCCTTGCATGCACCAATAATTTATAATGAGCTTTTAAATAATAATTCAAAAATAAACTTGAAAGGACTGAAGCTGTGGTTGAGAGAAGACTTCTTTTTTTGTCCATTACAGTTTCTAAGAGTTAAATTGGATGCTAGTTTGAAATACATTCTCAACATTTCAACCTTAGAAGTTTTCTATGGTATACAATTAATCTCTATAGCATACTTTTACTCACAGTAATTAAAAATTCGAAATCAACGTTTTTGAAAAAGAATTTCAGATGAAATACAGAAGTAAGAAATATTGTTCATCAAACGGCCTTAGACCAGTGCTTAACGTCTTTCGTAACCAAAATCTTCAGGCATGGTGGTATATGTGACAACTTGTAGTAAAAGGCTTATGATGTATTTTGCTTTGTAACACATAAAGTTATATTGCGGAAACTTTTTAAATGTTGTTCTTATTAATTTTTCGTACCATTGTTGAGAAAACAACATTTTAGTAAAATATCAACAAGTAATTAATAAAGCATATGTTTTTTTAAAAACTGTGTATATTTATTAAACAAATTTGTCTTCTTCTTCTTCAAAATGTTGTAAAGCAATAAATTTAATACATTGCCATATCTTACACCTTTAGGTAATTTCTCTCGTTGAAGTTTTATATAGTGATTACAGTGTCTGCAATTTGCTGTAGAAATAGGTTTACTGGACAGCTACAGTTGCATGTGAGGCGTATTGTTATCTCCAAGAACATTTTCGAACGTTTTTAATTAAAATGTAAAAAAAAAAAAAAATGTAGATTCAAAATCTATATTTGTTGATGTAACTAAGATGACTTTTAATTATTGTACTTGTAATAAACTTAAAGTAAATAAATCAAGTGTATAAACACTATCACGTGGCTTAATATATTAATTTTATCAATCACAAGTATTTAAGATGGGAAAACTATTTACAAGAGTTCGCACACTATACAAACAAACTTCGTATAACTAAGTTATTAATTTACACAGTGTGAGTACAAGGCTGTTTCATTTATTACATTCTACAGTAGAATAATTATTTTACTAGTTACTAAAAGCCCCCCCCTTTCCCAGTGGCACAGCGGTATATCTGTAGACTTACAACGCTAGAATCCGGGTTTCGATATCCGTGGTGGGAAGAGCACATATAGCCCATTGTGTAGCTTTGTGCTTAATTACAAACTAACAAACTTTACTAAAAATGTAAAACTGTTACATGTCTAAAACTTTTAGGAGTTCACTGTTTCAAAATCTGTTATCAAAGTTTTATTTTATAACAACAAATCAAAAGCTTTGCTCAAAAGTTAAACCTTTAATTGTAATCTCTCAGTCAAAGAACTTAGCTCCAAATGAAATTTGAAAACTTGTTGTTGAAATAATACTAGGAGTAAGAAATATTACATTACTTCATTACATATTACTTCAAGCAAGATATCGGGAAATTTAAGTATAGTAATATAATTTAGATTTACATCAGCAACCACTTAACACTGTGTTCTTTCTTTAAGACTTTGATGTTTTGTTGGTTAATCACACCTCATTTTACATCATTCGTGTGCACATCGTACAATGTTAAATGGTGCGATAAAAGCTTTAACTACACTTGCTTTTTTCCAAGGTTGAAATAAAAAGCAGTTTTTTGAATGCATGATAAGTTTCATTTATATTTTTAACTTATTTTTGTTAATTTTAAAAATGTTTAGAAAAAGTTATTCCAACAGCTACAGCTGTGTAGCAAGGTTTTAAAATAGAGCAAGAATATGTGATAATTTATTATTATTTTGTTTAGTTTTCTCCACACGTGAGAATCTGCTTGACATTTTATCAAATTCTAACATAACAGGTTAGCTTAGTTTAAAATAGTGGATTAACTTACAACCCACTGTTACTTCGGAAAGACATTCGACAGAAGAAACAGAAGTTTTAATCAAACTTAATTATTGTTTTATTTTGCGCAAGGCCCCCCATTGGCACAGAGCTATGTCTGCGGATTTACAATGCTAGAAACCATGTTTCGATACCCGTGGTGGGCAAAGCAAAGATAGCCCATTGTGTAGTATCGTCCTTAATTTCAAACAAACAAAAGTGATAAATAGTAAAGAGAGTTTGTTACACTCAACATAAAGTACTAACTGAAAGAGACTAATTATGGTCTTACAAAAGTGGCTACAATAAGATATCACACTTCGAGATTTTAAACGATATGTAATATACCAAATCATGCCATATTCGTTACTTTATATTCAGAATTTATAAACCTTATGAATTCAAACCAGTGCATCGTTGTTGGTGCATTTAAAGCTAGCTAAGCAATATATAAGCAAATCTTAATAGTATATCTGTGGTTTAAATCTTCAAATGATGAAAATTTAGAAGTTTTATATAATTTCAAATTTCGCTGAGGGATATAGTGTGACCCTACTTATACGCAATAAAAACCCGTTTAAAATATATGTTTCAATAATTTTTACCTAATACACAGCCTGTATTCATTGTCACATTGAATATGTTTGCTCTGTTTGAGCTCAACCATAAAAATAAATAAAGAATACTTTAATGTCCATTTAGTTATTATTTCTGTTTCTTTTTATTTCAGCGATACATGGCCTTCGTCTTCAAATCGTAGAAGTTCCCACAGCTGTTCGACGAGGTGATCCTATCTGGTTAAACTGCACCTATAATCTAGAAACAGATGACTTGTACTCTGTGAAGTGGTACAAAAATAACGTCGAGTTTTACCGATACTTGCCAAGCGATGATCCTCCAGCACAGAAATATGATTTGGTAGGAGTCTATGTTGAGGTAAGAATAATTTTAATATGCACATACGAACATACCAGCAACATACATTTTACTGAAAACAAAACTGATTAAAACATTCTTTCTTATTCTTCTTCCTATAAATTCAGGGCCATGTATGTTCCTTAGAACATGCCTGATGAATGAAAACAGAATGTTGTTCTGTTGTTACTCCATCAAAGAAGGAACCACTAATGAAAAAGGCTATTTCTTTAATCTCCTTGATTTCCTTTTTTTTTCTTTTCTTTTTATAAGTTGTGTCATAGTTGTGAATAACATGATTGTAATTATTTTGAATTTATGAAAACAACCTTTAACAGTTGAGCAAGTCTTATCAAGGAAATGTATACCTCTCAAGTTCGGACATGAACACAGAAGGAACCTATAGGTGCGAAGTGTCAGCTGAAGCGCCATCTTTTCAAACAGAACGAGCAGAGAGAGAATTACAGATTTACGGTAAGGCTGTTGTGAATCATGTATATACGTGAGTGTATGTGTGCATATGTATGTGTTATTTCAAGGGAAAAGATTAATAACTAATCGTATCGAATTTCATAGTCACAGCGGTCTATAGCGTCTCCTCTGTTATTTTCATTTAAAAGGCGGTGTTCTGACACCCTCTATACATCTTAACAGTGATAATTATTAAGTATTGCAGAAATATATTTTAATTTAAATATAGCGTCAACCATAGAAAATACAAAATTATTACTTCTGTTGGGATAGTAGCAAATAATTTTAGATACATGGGTTAATAATGAGAAATTAAAGATGTAAATTTCATAATGACATACAAAACAACATCAAACGATACACAAACAAATAACTGCACACAAATAATTAAGAAATAAAGTTAAGGCTCAACTTTAAGATTGTGTTTGAATGCAAATTAGCATATAGTTTTAAAAGTTGCTCAGTGAATAATTGAAAAATTTAATTTCAAGTTATGATAAGAAAAACTACTACTTAAGCACCCTAGACATCATTCAGCATTTACATATGAAATACAAACTTCAGAATATGAAACATAAGATTTCTACAAAACTATTAATGGAAAGCATTGCAATCTTAATTGGTTCTGCGATAATTCAAATAGAATGACATGACCATTAATAAATAAATTAAATTATTATATGTTAGATTAAATTCTAGATAAAAGCGTAAAAGTAGTTTAAAACGATTTTTTTTTCACTTAAGAATTACTTTAAAAGATTATATAGATATATATATATTGAAATTGTTTGTTTATAATTAAGCACAAAGCTACACAATGAGCTATTTTTTGCTCTGCCCACCACCGGTTTCGAAACCTGATTTCTAGCGTTGCAGCTGTGCCACTAGAGGCATATATTTAGATAGCGTTATAATGATATTGATTGGCGTCGTTGTTGTTTTAGCGTAAAACTACACAATGGACTATTTGCGTTCTGTCCACCAAAGTGAATCGAATCCCAGATTTTAACATTGTATATCTTTGATGCAATTGGAAAAGTAGAAGTATTTAATATATATTTATTTAGTACTTTAGAACTAAATAACATTATCATATGAAGTTTCGGAAAGAAATATTATCATACGTAGTATCTTGATTGTCTTATAATATTTGTAACTCCAGATACAAATGTTAACGCAGTTGTGCATAACATGTAGATGCCTGAGGGCATGTCTGGCAGTGTTAGACCATTTACTACACTCATATTCAAAGCCTGACCAAATAAATAGTTAATCAATTAAATATATTTTCGCTTGAACATATACTGACTTCAGAGATAATTATTTTAGGATTATTTATTTTAGCCAGTGTGGTTTAACTATGGTTATTTGGATGACCATGCCATTCAAGTATATCGTTATAAATTAGTAGTTATTAGGACTGTTCACAGACATACGCTGATTGGCTGCCTCAGGGAAGGTGGTAGAGACGATGACGTCATAGTTCCACAAAGTGGAACCAGAGGGCGCGTTGCTAGGCCACCAGAACTCTTGACGATGGAAGTTGTCTACTGCCAGGGAGTGCGTTACTTAGGAGATGTCACATGACATTATGGTTTGAGTGTTTCGCAACAGAAAGCATGTTTATAGCGCCATGAAGTGGCACTAGAGGGCGTGTTGTTATGATGAGCACACAGATAGCTAGTATGTGTATGTGTGTGTGTTTTTATATAGCAAAGCCACATCGGGCCATCTGTTGTGTCCACCAAAGGGAATTGAACCTCTGATTTTAGCATTGTAAATCCAGAGACTTACTGCTGTCCTCTCAGAGGAAAATAGTTAGTGAGTAAACCATCAGAATGTGAAATAGCTCAAGGTATTTCAACCTTATAGTAACAATCAACGTCTTAAAATTCATATTGTATCTAATTTACATAAAGTTGTGTTTACAATTATAGTTCTGCTTTATAAGTAAAGCATCAAATCTGCTCTTTTAATATTATCTACTTTATAGATTTTACTTATATATTGTGTACATCTTACAAAGGTGGACAGTGTTTCTATAGGTGGATGCCAAAATGTGTTACTAAGGTTAGTGCTACAGATGATGTTTCTATAAATGGATAGTTAAACAGGATGATGAGTTCATCGTAGGGTGTTTCAACATATCATCATCGTCTATATTTAGTTACATATAAAACTATTGTTTATATTATGTATTGATTTAGCATAACAATAAAACTTGACAAAATATTTAATTTTACTGTAGTTTTCACTTATAAAGTTATTTGTATTAGAAAGACGGATGGTGTTTCTATAGGTGGAAAGGGTTACTATACTTCTGTACGATTGCATACAGATTTAAGTTTATTTCTACTTATGTTTATAGTTTTCATTTATATCTTTAACTGTATTATATGTGTTCCTATAGGCGGATAATGTTACTAACACACTTAAAGTACATATGAAAAGTTTTTATGACATCTAAAATTTTGTTTTATAAATATTGAATGAGGCAGCTAGTATAACTAATTGTGTTGTTGTTTTTTATTTAGAACACAATTAACATACTGGAATAAAGGTTTCATTTCTATAGTTAATTAGTATAATATACTTTTTTACAAATATCATCTTGAAAATGATGCTCATTTATATCTCATGTTTAGCTTTATAAGTTGGTTTGTTCTGCTAAAGTTTAAAGGATCTACGTAAATATTTAACTATTACTATTCTTACATTTATGAAGATATTTTACAAATCTTTGTCTAGAGCTTCTTTTTGCTGGTTTGGGATCTTTGTAAAAAAAAGTTATGTTTTTAGAGCACAACTTGTAAACGAGCTTTCTTGATGTATTAATCAATATGTCTACAATGATTATCTTTTACAGATTTTTAGCTCTCATTAATACTACCTAAGAGGTCCAACTCAAACAACGTTGATAAATTTTAATTCTTAGATCATACAAAGGGCAGAAGAGGTCGTCACATTGCTAACACATCCCACCCAGCTGATGGCATGTTTAGAAAGCTTGACCTTTGTGTTTCTCTAAGGCTAAAACAAGTACTGCTTTCGTTTTTACAAAAAAATACTTTATGTGCACTGTAACATTTAAACTTATTAGCTGGTTTTCTTAGTTACTGTTAAGTTGACATACACAATCCATTCTTAATTAATTAAGTTAGGCTTACGTACAACTTTTTTTGTATTACTTGTTTTGGCCTTAGTTGAACACATGTACTAGCATTTCTGTTACCTAGGAGTTATCTCTTTTTTTTTCTTTGACATTGCTTCTCGTATAGTGACATAATGTTGCCTTGTAATATGCATCATGCAGTATGATTGGCTACACTTCATACCACCTGTGTTAGTAAAGTGGATCTATCCTTTTCGTCCACAGATATGGGGTTTTAGAGTGATCATAGTTCCGTTAGTTTAAGCAATAAGCAGTCAGAATTGCGTAAGAGGTATTTTATATGTCAAATCCTTTAGCTCAGTATCACACTTTACTAATTCTTACAGTGTTAGAACATCTATCTTATTAACAATAGCGTGATCATTCACTATGTTATTTTATTTTATCTTCACGTCTGTTATTGAAGTAGTTTTGTGATTATGTTATTTACTGAAATGTAAGTAAATATGTAAATTTTGTATAATTATTAGTAGTTGTGACTCCTAATTTGCTTATAACTTACCTGGAAAAGCTTACCTTCATTTGAATTCTCGATTACTAGGTTTTGTAGAAACTAATTACATTATAAAATTTTCACAGTCACAGGTACCAATCAATAATTTTAATACATAACCTGGATTCTTTAAGATCAGGGGAAATTTGAAAATATATCTTGTGGTTCACTCTCTAACCCATTAAATAACCTTCATTATTTTCACACTTCTTCTTTTTTTATCAGAATAAAGACTAGGAACAACAATGACCTTCTCTGGAAGAGTTCATGAACTCAGGAGAAGGAAGAGACATATACTGGCCTGTAATTGAGGGTCATTCTAGCCGGAAATAGATTTAGGAAAAGAGTGTTCTTCTGCACTCTGTCAGGCTATTCATGGATCCTCACTATCCTCTTGAGCCAAATGATTACTAGAAGTATTACCCCTTGCTGAATATCTTATGGGTGAATCAAATCAAGACATCTTGGAAAAGAAGTCACTATAAAAGAAACTTCACTTCGGATGAGACGCTCATATGTTATGGACTATCTTGGAAAATATCATTACAGTGCATCAGCTGGGTTGGGATTATGAGTTGAACCCTACGTTACAATCTAGGGGGATGCACTGACATAAGCCTACCCTTCCTTCATGAGAAGGCAAAGTGCCTTGCAGGAAGTAGAAGAGAGTTAATTTTCTGATTTTACCAGTACTCTTTTGGCTGTATATTGTTCTGTTGATTCCAATGTTTTGCTTTTCCTAACTAGAACACATTTTCTTTTGTTTTCCATCTGTATCATCCCCTCTGAATCAGTTCCTTGGTTGTTGTTTATACAATAGTAGTTCAGAGGAGGTCAATATAATGCGAATTGTGTTAGATTTGATACAGAGGTGCTGCTGCAAGTTTGTCATCTTACTCGTTTAGCTTTACCCCTCCATGGTCTGGCACATTAATCCTGCCTATTGTTTTACCATACAGTTACTTTGCTGTCTGCTACCAATTTGAGAGCCAACTATTTTAAATTTGATGCATTACTGCCAGAAGTCAGTTACAAACACTATGTTGGTGACACTGTCTATTTATAGTTCATTGCTTTCAGCAATCCACAGGTGAATTTGCTTTCTGGTTCCTAGTTGCATCTTTGTGCAGTTTTCGGAAAGCTAGTATACTCTACCTGACTTATACAGAGTGTTGTTGATGCATGAAACAATGAATGTCCAACTATTTCTCTTGCTATATGTGATGTAAGAACAACATGTGACTTTGATAAAAGGTGACTGTACAATTTTGCCTTTGAAGAGGTAATGACAGGAATTTCTACTTCACCATCTGCCCATTCTATATATTTTATGTCTAG